TTTTGAAATATATAAATTTTATTTTTTAATTTTACATCTACAATCAAATAAATTGAATTGAAAATAAAGTCAGTCAAACCTCGTAAACACAAACGAGAAGATGGTTTTAGGATGGAGGGAATAACTAAATATATTTTTTTCACAATTTGTGGTCAAAGTGTAACAAAGTATGACCAAAAAGTCAAATTGTGATAATCTTTGTGGGATGAAGAGAGTATTCGTTATTATTAAAAAAATCATAAAATCAAATGGTCAACTAATTTGACGTTATTGCTACAATATGTAAATGAAAAAGCTGCCATTATGTATATATCAAGAACATTTTCTAGACAAAATATCATTAAATGTCAAAACATTAAACTAAATGCTAGAGTATTGATAAGCAAAAGACCATTATCAAATAGTCACCAACCACAATCTGTCAAAGCTAAGGTTCTCACATTATAGACAATGGACCACAAAAAGCTACTTTAAAACCTCCCAAAACACACAGTATCAAGATACTTAAAAAATACTAGCAAAACAAAGTTTAAAGCTACAAATTCAACATTCTGATTTATATTCACTTTGAGTCTAGAGTTGTTGAAGTTGAAGCTCTTGGATTTGTTGATGGATGCTCTCAGCCTGGATGTGTACTAGGGAGCCAAGTAGTCAATGCATTGCTCCTGGAACTGTTGTGAATCCTACCTCTGCTAGTTGATGCAGTGCCTTTTTTAGCATTTAGTGGTGCAACTCTTTTGGTAGTTTTGGGTGGTTTACTCACAAGTTGCAAAATATGCATGCATTTCATAGATGTATGTGAAGGATATACAACTGATGTTACAACTGATGTCTGCACCTACAAAAATGTATATGGTAAGTTTACCTTAAAGAGATTATATTTAGCTTCATTGACAACGTGTTCACATAGGGATGGGAACGGGTCAGGTTCGGGTCGGATAGTACTATACCCGAACCTGACCCGACTTTTAAAACAGAAACCCAAACCTGACTTGAAACCCGACATTTTAAGCCAAAAACCTGACCTGCCCCGAACCCGAACGACCTGAACTAGGCTTTTATTTTATAAAATATTCGGGTTTGAGTCGGGTCGGGTGCGGATTCGGGTCGGGTAAAATTATAAACCCACACCTGGTTGGTAAGTCTAGAAATTTGTGATTCCTGTGTTGGCGGGCTAGATGCAACTGTAAACTGGTTGTGCTGATTGCTTCCTTGTCCTGGTTGTGCTTGGTTGCTTTGTTTTGGTGCATTTCTTGTGGCTTTACAACTCCTTTTATTATGTCCACCATCCCCGCAAATTGAGCAATGCAGTGTTAGTCCTCTCCTAGTAGACTTCTTTTCATCTTCATGTTCTTCAGGTGTCTTTCTCCTCTTCGTTTTTGGCCTACCAGGTGCCCTCTTCACAGTAGGAGGGAGAAGTTGTACATAAGGGGTTCTCACAAAGTCATGTGGACCAGGAACAGGGTGAATGATATTAGCATACACTTGATTGTAAGTGTCAACCTTATAGCAATCATCAACATAATTCTCAACTCTCTTCCTAAAGGTATTCACACATGCCATTGCGTGCACACATGGGTAACCTGTGAGCTGAAAACATCTACAAGTACATTCTCTCTTATTGAAGTGTACTACATGTGTTTCCTCACCTCTTTTCACCTCATACTCTTCCTCACCTCCATAGGTAGGAAA